CGCACCTGCCCCCCTCGGGCTCCTGGTGCGGCGCCTCCGGGAGCCGGCGGAGGCCCCGCCCCGCGCCACTGCCGCGGGAGGGCCCTGTCCCACCCGCCACCATGACCCCGCCGGGCCGCCCGGCAGCGGCGAGAGCGGCCACGGCCCCGCCGCCCTCAGCGGGAGAGGAGGGGCGAGACGCCCAGCTCGTCTCCCATTGGCTGCAGGACGGACGCTCCCCACCAATGAGCTGCTAAGGCGGTGCCGCCTATTGGCCGAGAGCGCCGATAGGCAGGCGGGATAGCTTATGGGCGCGGCGGGCGGGGCCCCGCCCCCGGAAGCGAGCGCAGGGGCAGCGGCGGAGGCCGGTCCCGGTGCGCTATGGCCGCTGACGGGAAGGAGCCGCTCCGCGCCCTGCTCCGCGCCGCCAACGCCCTCCTCCAGCAGCGCCGCTACCACGCCGCCCTCGCCGTCCTCAAGGGCTTCCGCAACGGGGCCGTGTGAGTGCGGTGGGAGCGGGAAGGGGACGCGCCAGGTCCGGGGGGGGGGGGGGCGGAGAATGTCTCCGTTCCTCCGGGGCCCAGTCGCCCCGCGGGCCGTGGGCAGGCCGGGGCTGTTGTGGAAGAGGTTTGGGAGAGGCGTGTCCCTCTCCCTCACCGATAAGAGGGGGGGTGACTGGTTTTGGGGTCCCTTTTGGTCTGGGTCATTGCCGGGGTGTTCTCTGAAGCCTGCGGCCTGGGCTCTGCTGGGCTGACTTTTACCAAGTAGCATCTCTTGGCTGTCAATAGCCTATAAATACAATCGTTTGATAGTGTCACGCAAAAAAGTCTGAAATGTCTCTTCACTCTTGCAGTTATGGAGCAAAAATTCGAGCCCCGCATGCCCTGGTGATGACTTTCTTGTTCAAGAGCGGAAGGTATGAACCCCAGTTCTGCCCTTTTGTGTTCCTCCTTGGAATGTTTTTCTTCAAGCATTCAATCTTTTTCGTGTTTCCTGAGGGATTAAAAAGCAGAAAGGTACCTGAGCCTTGGTCATAGCCCTTGTTCTGGTAGCTGCTCAGGACAACACTGAATTTCACTGAATTTTTAGAGTTGGAAGGGACCACAGAGATCATCTAGTCCAACTCTCCTGCCGAAGCAGGACCACCCAGAGCTTGTCAGAGCATGTTACTCAGGAGCATCCAGGCGGGTCTTGAAAATCTCCAAAAAAGGGGACTCCACGACCTCCCTGGGCAGGCTGTTCCAGGGCTCTGTCACATACATAAAATATACAAATATACATACTCCTGGGGGTCAGCCGCTTGCGCGAGGGCTGATGAGAACTATTGGGCAGAGGAGAAATTAGCAGTGGCAAACAGCAACGTTCTGCTCTCTGTTCGAATATGGGAAGCTAAGCTATAGCAGGGCATGTTGTGGCTTTCCCCACTTATGCCAAGTTTGCACTTAGGCAAAGTATATATAAAAAAAAGTATATATAAAATAAAAAGGGCAACGAAACTAGTGACGGGCCTGGAAGGCAAATCATATGAGGAGCGGCTGAAGGAGCTGGGGCTGTTTAGTGTGAGGAAGAGGAGGCTGAGGGGAGACCTCATCACCCTCTACAACTACTTGAAAGGACACTGTAGAGAGGTTGGTGCTGGTCTCTTCTCACAGGTAATTAACAATAGAACGAGAGGGAACGGCTTCAAGCTCCAACAGGGGAGGTTTAGATTGAACATTAGGAAGGAATTTTTCACTGAAAGAGTGGTCGGGCATTGGAACAGGCTGCCCAGGGAGGGGGTGGAGTCCCCATCCCTGGCTGTGTTTAAGGGCTGTTTAGATGCAGTGCTGAGGGACATGGTGTAGGGGAGGACTTTGTAGAGTAGGGGAGATGGGTGGACTCGATGATCCCAAGGGTCTCTTCCAACCTCAATGATTCTATGATTCTAAGTTGTTTGACTCATCTGAGCAGATCTGTGATTCTGCTGAGTGAGACACAGGTTCGGGAATACGTCCTCCCTCGCACAACAGACGTTCCGTGGGGTGCCCGAGCTGTCAGTCTGGATGGGGCAGGGTAGAGGGGTGTCGTGTCCAGGCTGAGTGACTGCAGTGGTCCTGGCTTTTCGCTCTCCTAATTGTCTCTCTGTTTCTTTTCTTCAGTTTAAGAGAGAAACTGAAATCGATTGCTCAGGCTACGTACACTCATTCCCGGAACTTGGCCTATTTTGTGTTCACCTACAAGGGGCTGATGGCGTTGCAGTCCCGACTACAGGGGAAAAAAATTCCATTTCATTCTTTCTTTGCAGCCTGCATTGGAGGTTGGCTGGTGTTCGGTGAGAACAACCCCATCAACAGCCAGGTAAATGCATTTGTTGAAAGTTTCCGTGACAAAAACCCCAACCGATGGATGATCACATGCCAGGAAGTGGTTGGAATAGCCTGGCAGATTTCTGGCAGTTCTTACCATGTAGCATTACTCTTTTATTATATTTCTCTTTGCACAAGTCCTGGTTTTGGGTGCCCTGTGCTCAAATCCCAGAGGTGGTTGGGTGTCTCTGTGAGCGGTGCCTGATTTTTAGGGCTAAAAGCCCGGATACCCCTCCAGAGCTGCACATAGAATCACAGAATGGTTTGGGTTGGAAGGGACCTTAAAGCCCATCCAGTGCCACCCCCTGCCCTGGGCAGGGACACCTCCCACCACACCAGGTTGCTCCAAGCCCCCTCCAACCTGCCCTTGAACCCCTCCAGGGATGGGGCAGCCACAGCTTCTCTGGGCAACCTGGGCCAGGCTCTCACCACCCTCACAGCAAAGAAGTTCTTCCCCAGATCTCAGCTCAATCTCCCCTCTTTCAGTGTCAAACCCTTCCCCTTTGTCCTATGGCTCCCCTCCCTGATCCAGAGTCCCTCCCCATCTCTCCTGGAGCCCCTTGAGGGACTGGAAGGGGCTCTAAGGTCTCCCAGGAGCCTTCTCTTCTCCAGGCTGAACCCCCCCAAGTCTCTCAGCCCCCCCTCCCAGCAGAGGGGCTCCAGCCCTCTGATCATTTTTGTGGCCCTCTGCTGGACCTGTCCCAACAGGTCCGTGTCCTTACTGGGTTGAGGACTTTAGAGCTGGACACAGTGGTCTAGTTGGGTTCTCCTGTTTGTGGCCCTCTGCTGGACCTGTCCCAACAGGTCCGTGTCCTTACTGGGTTGAGGACTTTTGCTGGACCTGTTCCAACAGGTCTGTGTCCTTACTGGGTTGAGGACTCCAGAGCTGGACACAGTGGTCTAGTTGGGTTCTCATGAGAGCGGAGCAGAGGGGCAGACCCCCCCCTGGCCCTGCTGGCCACGCTTCTCTTGATGCAGCCCAGGATGTGGTTGGCTTTCAGGCTTGGCAGCACACACTGCTGGCTTATGTTGAGCTTCTCCATGCAATCCAAAGCTGTTGGGTTGCCCCCCCCTCCATCATCAAGGCTGTGATTGCCCCCAGTCTTCCCACTCACTGGATTTAAACCCTTTAGCTTGAACATTTTGAGTGTAGGGCACAATCATTTACTGAGCTACGCCTAATTAAACTGCTTAAACTGACAAAAGCCACCCAGGGGATGTTTGCTTTAAAGGTAGTTGTTGACCCACAGTCTTGGATGAATCAAGCAGTAAAACACAAAGATGGAGATGTATAAAAGGGTTTTATTATGCAATACCCTGTAAGAGTCTGGTTGTAGGATGTGTCCAGACTATCGGGTTTGTGTCTGCAGGGCTGCCCTGCAACTCTTGCATCACCAGCAGCCTCTGATGTAGCATTCACTGAGCAAAGGCAAGAGTTGTGCAACTGCAAAGATGTCTTGCATCAAGGGTAACTTGTCGGTTACCAAATGAGAGCACCAGCAGAGGAGCAGGGCCTTTAAGGACAGAGGGAAAACACAAACATCTCCAGTTGTAAAGACTACGCGATACGTGAACTTACAGCCTCTTTGGTGTTAAGTTGGGTACATTATTCCCACCCCTTTTGCTTGGTTTATCGCTTCTAAATGACTTGACTTGGCTGGCGACAGGACGAGAGGAAATGGCCTCAAGTTGCACCAGGGGAGGTTCAGGCTGGATATTAGGAAAAATTTTTTCACTGAAAGGGTTATCAGCCATTGGAATGGGCTGCCCAGGGAGGTGGTTGAGGCCCCATCCCTGGAGGTGTTCAAAAGACGGGTTGATGTAGTGCTGGGAGGTCTGGTTTAGTGATGATGCTCCTTGTTTGTTGTGTGGGTGTCTATTTTTGTCAGTGAGGTTGACGGTTGGACAAGATGATCTTTAAGGTCCCTTCCAACCTAGAAGATTCTGTGATCTGTGATTCTGTATATCTGGTCAGGCTGTTTCCCTAACGTTCTTGGGCTTTTTTTTTTTGTCTGTGCAGATCATTATGTACCTGCTGTCTCGGGTGCTCTTTGGCCTGTCCCGGCTGGCGGTGGAAAAGGGCTACGTCCCGCAGCCGAAACGGGATCCCTTCCCGCTTGTCGCCGCTCTGATTTGGGGGATGGTTCTCTGGCTCTTTGAATATCACCGGCAAACCCTGCAGCCTTCTCTCCAATCCTCCATGACCTACCTGTACGACGACAGTGACGTATGGCACGACGTGTCTGACTTTCTCATTTATAACAAAAGGACAGACAGCAAGTAGGTGGCTCGGTTGTCAAACACCTTTGAACGGGACGGCACCTTCCAGCAGCTACTAAGGGAAAAGGTTATTCTGTTGCTCTTGACTGGTGAATTCTTTTTAAATTAACGACTATCAGGCAAGGTTGCTTTTTGTGTTGTGGCCAAAACGTTCTGATTAGGCTTCTCTTGGCTCTGTTTAGAGTGAGTAAATACCCCACAGAAACTTGCTGCAGTCCTCAGTGGGAGTAAGATGCCTTGGGAATCTTGAGTTGAATAAGTCTTTTTTTTTTTTTTTAAAGAGGCCTTATTTTCCCTACAAGTATGTGTTTTTATTTTGTGAAGACACTAAATGTTATGACAGCCTGACAGTAAATGGTCTAATGGTGATCGTATCTAATCAGGAAAAAAATGCTCCGAATGCTCCGGAGACAGAAGTGGTTTTCTGTGCTCCCCGTGGTGTGAGCAGGAGACCTGTTCAGGGTCTGAGGGCAGGAACGGGATTTCTTGATTTCTATGACTGGAAAACTTGTTTAAGCTATGACAGGGAGAGTTGTGTGCTCCTTCAGAGTGTTTCTCTGCAGTTTTCCCTCAGGGAGGCAATAAGATGTTTGAGAATGAAACTGTTAAGATTGTCTGGTACTAGTCTGTTAAATCAGGCTCAGAAGGGCTATTTTTGCTTGGTTTCTTTCACACCACTTGAGCTGAATCTGTCCCTTTGTGGAGTGCACTGATTAATACCCTGTAATTACTTTAAACTTATTTGTAAAGTTCTTTGTAAAAGCTGCTTGAACTAAATACCAAAAACGGTTACGCAATGTAGACGCCTGCGAAAACATGCCGAGGCGCATCGCACACCCCCGGGTGTCACACCGGCCCTCGATGTGCAGAAACAAGTGACACTTTCACCAAACACTTTTATTTTGGTGAAAGATAAGCACATGGGCTTTCTCTTAGGCCCAGAATCTCCCCTCCGCAGCAGTGGCATATGTTAGCTGTAATCAAACTTGGAACGCACCTCTCGTTTGTTGCTGAGCCAGGTTGAGGCCGAAATTGAATATAGGAGTGGATTTGCCTCTTAAAAATACACTACTGAGCCCCGGGAATAGTGCAGGACACACTGGGCTGTGCCAGAAGGTCGACTAGGTAGCTGAGAGAGAAGAAAAACTGTTTAAAAATTAATAAAATCAGGCTGTTAATAGTGCAAAGCTCTTATATATAGACCACTGTGCCATCCACTTAGTGATGTACATTAAAGTAATTCCTGACACACTGGTTTTAGGGGGTGGTATTCCCAAGGGAGTCATTAAGTTCCTTGTGTTAACCATTCCCTTTTGGCTCAGTGGGGACAGTTTTGGTCACTCTCCCTGTACCCATCTGCTTCTCCATCCTGACCTGACTGTGTCATTTTATAACCCCACTGATGCTGTTCTTTGTCATTTGTAGACTCTTTACTCCAGGCTCTAGCAATTTGTCATATTCAGTGGTGTGACCGAAACAGTACACTGAAGTCGAGGTAGCTTCTGAGTAGAAAAAAAAAACCTCTTAGTTTCTTCTTAGGTAATTTTTCTTTGTCTTGCTAAACTCTTTTATTACTATTGCTGGTATTCTGAGTGCTGCTTTGCTCTTTGTTTTCTCACTCTCTGTGTCAGCAAGAGTGCAATGTTCTCCTCTCCGTAGTCTGCCTGGTGCCATGATGTTTGGGACTGAATCACATCCTGGGAGGCTCAGGTCAAGTAGGAATAGAGTCTTCTGGCTCTTAAGTGAATCTAGTGCTGAGTCTACTGACTGTGAGATCCTACTGTGCAGAGACAGCACCTTGTTTGGGCTCATCCCATGCAAATACGTGACCTACTCCTCTTTGGTGCCCCAAAGACAAGATACTGCTTTGCCATAATGACTGTCTGTGGTGCCTTCAGCTTTTAACTTCACAGAATGATATGGGGTTGGAAGGAACCTCTGGAGATCATCCAGTCCAACCCCCTGCCAGAGCAGGTCCACCCAGAGCAGGTCCCACAGGACCGTGTCCAGAATGTCTCCAGAGAAGGAGACTCCACCACCTCCCTGGGCAGCCTCTGCCAGGGCTCTGCCACCCTCACAGGAAAGAAGTTCCTCCTCATGTTTAGGTGGAACTTCCTGTGTTGTAGTTTGTGCCCGTTCCCTCCTGACCTGTCCCTGGGCACCACTGAAAAAAGCCTGGCCCCATCCTCCTGACACCCACCCTTTCAGTATTGACAGGCATTGATCAGATCCCCCCTCAGCCTTCTCTTCTCCAGACTAATAAGACCCAAGTCCCTCAGCCCTTCCATCTAAGAGAGATGCTCCAGGCCCCTCCTCATCTTTGTAGCCCTCTGCTGTCCCCTCTCCAGCAGTTCCCTGTCCTTCTGGAACTGGGGACCCCAGAACTGGTCCCAGTGCTCCAGATGGGGCCTCCCCAGGGCAGACAGAGGGGCAGGATGACCTCTCTCCACCTGCTGGCCACACTCTTCTTGATGCCCCCCAGGATGCCCTTGGCCTTCTTGGCCACAAGGGCCCATTGCTGGCTCATGGGCATCCTGGTGTCCACCAGGACCCCCAGGTCTTTCTCCTCAGAGCTGCTCTTACAGTTTGTATGGAATACCTGCATTGGAACAGCCATCGGTATTTAATAAGAGAGACCTCAGGAGAACTGGAGAAATTAGGAACCATTGTTGTTTGTAGGTAAATCTTGGTTTGGTGTAGATAAGCTTGAAGATTCAAGTACAGAAAAAATAGTGAGGTCTGGTTTCTTTCTAAACGTCGCGCCTTTATTTGCACCTCTGGGGGGGTCTCTGAAGCAGCGCGAGTGTCTCACCCTGTCGGAAGCCTCAATATTGTTCCAATTAAGAATTTTAGCATTCTGCTAATATTGCTGAATTCCTACAAGCTTTGATGGGATTTCAGAAAACCCTTCCACAATCTGACAGCTTGAGAATTTCTCTCTAAAACTATTAGACTCCACAAATCCTTGACTGGGTATAATTACTGTAGTAGTACAGGCTGGTTATGTGAGCCCTTGTGTCTACAAGAAGTTTTTAACCTTTTTAATTTATAACTGGTGATCATTTCTCTGAGAGAGGCTTGTGATTCCCTTAGAGGTGAAATCATTGTCTTCTGCTGGTAGTTCTGCTGCAACCGTGTGGCTGCTTGTGAGGCTTTTCTCTGCCCGTGTGGTGGCCCAGTGACCTGTCCTGTCCTTTGTATGGGATCTCTATCCTATCTGGATGGCAAATCCAAGCCAATAGCAGGTTCCTACCCCTCTACTCTGTGCTTGTGGGACCCCACCTGGAGCTCTGTGTCCAGCTTTGGAGTCCTCAACACAAGAAGGACATGGACCTGTTGGAAGGGCCACGAAATGCTCAGAGGGCTGGAGCACCTCTCCTATGGAGACAGGTTGAGAGAGCTGGGGTTGTTCAGCCTGGAGAAGAGAAGCTCCAGGGAGATATCATAGCAGCCTTCCAATGTCTGAAGGGAGCTACAGAAGAGCTGGGGGGGGAGTTGTTGTTGGGAAGTGCAGTGACAGGACAAGGGGGAACGGTTTTAAATTGGAAGAGGGAAGATGGAGATTAGATCCCCGAAAGAAATTCTTTGGTGTGAGGGTGGTGAGACATTGGAACAGGTTGCCCAGAGAAGCTGTGGCTGCCCCATCCCTGGAGGGGTTCAAGGCCAGGTTGGAGGGGGCTTGGAGCAACCTGGTATGGTGGGAGGTGTCCCTGCCCAGGGCAGGGGGGGTGGAACTCGATGATCTTTAAGGTCCCTTCCAACCCAAACCAGTCTATGATTCTAACACCTTGGCAGCAGTGGCCATCGCTCATCCCTGGTTCCAAATGTCTTTTTTTTTTTTTTTTTCCTCTTGGGAATCCATCAGCGACCTCCCTTTCAAAGGAAATTGTGCCTGAGCCTCCCACCATCTGTACTTCTGCTCCGGGAACCAGCTGCCCTCCCTGGAAGAGGCAGCTCATCCCGGAGCGGGATCCTCAGCCGGGGGGGCCTTTGCCCGACGGTTGGTTTTCCTGCCGCCTCGGGGCAGGGTGTTAAGCTGCAAAGTCACTTCTTTCCCCCCAGGGAAGTAATTGGGACAGTTCTTTAACTGGCATTAGCCCCACGTCCCCGTTCCTGGGACCAGATAACGGGATGAACCCCTTCTGCCACCGAGGGGCGGGAACAATGCGGGCGTGTAGTCGGGAAGTGAACTAGAAGTAATTTGTCTGAGTCAGACTTTTGGGATCCATAAGTAACACTCCCTGCCCTCCCCCAGTGCATTGTGTGGGGAATTGAGTCCCCTTGTTTGTATTCCTTTTTTATTAGCATTAAAACCCAAAGACATAAAGAGACAGTTGGGAAGCCACCTGCGAATCGGCCAAATGCTTAAGGATCACAAAGAAATGCCATTTTCTCTCCCGAGCCCTGATGGGGTTTGAATTTTAAGAAGGACGGGGGTTGGTTTGTCTACATCAACTTTATTTTTTCCCTTGTTATTTCTTCCTTGACACCTGACCGTGAGACGCCAAGTGCCTTTATAGCGGAGCAGAGCACCTGGGTGCTTAGTTCAGTTTGCCAAAAATTAGGATGGAATTGCAGTGTTCATTTTTAAAAGGATGCTTCTCCTCCAGATTTTAAGCCGCTCTTAGAGGCACTTTTAAAGGTTAATGAATCAAACGGATCAAAAGTTTTCAGCGAGCCTGGAATAGCAGATAGACTGAGCTATTAATCATTTATTTTATGAAGGAAGAAAGCAAGCTGAGGGTTATTTACCCCTGCTGCCCTGGGGTACCCACTGTGCTTCCCTCGCCTTTGGGGGCCCGTTGTGTGCTGGTGCTGCCAGCATCGCCGCGGAACCCTTTCCGGGACAATTACATTATTTAACAAAGGGGGGGAAAAAAATGAAATGGCTGCATGACATTTTGGTTCAGCTGAGGTTTTCTGAGCCGCTTTTGATCCTTTTCAGCGAAGGGGAGGATGTTTCTGAAAGAAAAAATAAAATACCCTGTGCTTCTCCAATTAGTGCCACCGAGAAGTGCCCGTGGAGGTGGCGGCTGCTGCTGCGAGGTGTGAATCTGAGTTTGCAGGGTGACAGTGTGCTTTGTCCCTGTGTCTGGGCAACAACCAGCCCTGCCCCGGCAGCTGGGTCAGGGGGGAGAGGCTGCAGAAGATCTTTGCTACTGGTGCTGTGAGACTTTCTTGCCCTGGAGGGAGTAGTTGGAGCTCTGCTTTCAACCAAGCCAGGTGATGGGTAGAAGCCTGGGGATGAGCTCTGGCTGCAGCTGAGCAAAACCAGGTGTCCACGGGGACTCCCAGTGACTGCAGAGAGTCCACATTTGTCAGTTAGGTTGATGGTTGGACAAGATGATCTTTAAGGTCCCTTCCAACCTAGAAGATTCTGTGATTCTGTGATTCTGTTGAGATCTGCAGCCACTTGGGAGCCATCGTGGGTGACCGGTGCTGGTGGAAGTAACCAGAACCCAGGCTGGATGGGGCTTGGAGCAACCTGGTCTGGTGGGAGGTGTCCCTTCCCAGGGCAGGGGGTTGGAACTGGATGGTCTTTAAGGTCCCTTCCAACCCGAACCATTCTGTGGTTCTATAACCCCGTGCAGATACCCTCACACAGGAGAAACTGGTGTGTCTCAAACTCATTTTCACTGCATCAGCACAAACACGACCTTTGGATAATGCCCCGAGCCATGAGCTGTTTCCAGGTTGTGTTTGTCTTCCTGGATCCTGCCAACCTGAGCAGAATATGTTCGGTTTTCTGATGCCAGTTTTGAAATCCAGCAGATAAGGGAGGAGAGAAAATAAGGCGTAACGCAATCCAGCGTGATGTCTGGCTGCCACTGTTAATAATTTAGGGGTGCTAATCTTAAATTTCCAACCTGTGTGTTCCTACCAGATTGTTGGAGGAGGTAACTTTTTTTTTTCTTCGAAGAATTTTCATTTTTCTCATTCCCTTGAGAGACTGGTGATGAGGAAGGGGAAAACAAATTAAATGCTCTGTAGTACAAGTATTTTTACCTCTGCTTTTGATACGTATTTTGTGTTCATTAATTGGTGTGTAATCCAGGTCCTGATTTCCTGACAGCGTAGAATAAAGTGAAGAACATAAACTCAGGTAACTCTATCACGCTGGTCAGGATGCTTGTAGGAATCCCTGGAGTTTTTTTTGTTTTAAACCGTGCGAAAGAGGGGGCAGTGGGTTGTTGAAGTAGCTTGGTCCACTATGAATTGAGTTCTTGTGCAGTGGATGGCGTACATCAATCCAATGTAAGACTTTCTGCCAAAATTGTTTGCAGTTTATTTCTGTATAATCACTCTTTGAATATTATAACACTGGGCTTTCTATAATAATAATAATAAACTTTTTTTTGGTCTTTTTTTTTACTGTCATCATTATTAAGCTAAGATATATAAAGTAATGCTTAGTTGTTGCATGTTACTAGTCCTGTATGTGGAGAAGTCCTGCACCAAGTGCATTTTTGGCATCAGTTGCCCTCGTGTTACCAGTTTGGAGGCAGGAGCCAGTGGGACTTTGACCACGTCAGATCTGCTGCCACGCTGGCTGACTCGGGTAAGGAGCCCTCCTGCAAAGATGACTGCCATGCTTTTGGGGATTTGGGTGGGTTTTTTAAGCCTGAGCTTTCCTGTGCAGTAGCTGATGGATCACTTGGCGTGGCCACATATTGAGAGCAAGCGAGTCCAGCTGGGCTTAGGCTGGGGGTTCATGCCCCGTTCAAACCGGACACGTTCCAACCCAGTGTAAATGTGAGAGATTGTGACCACTGCAGCAAGAGAAGAGTCCATCTGTTCTGTTGGGCCTTCCTGGGGTGACACGGTTGCAGGACAGGCTGCTCCTTGGTGCCTTGCAGTCGTAGAATCATAGAATCACCTGGGTGCTTAGTTCAGTTTGCCAAAAATTAGGATGGAATTGCAGTGTTCATTTTTAAAAGGATGCTTCTCCTCCAGATTTTAAGCCGCTCTCAGAGGCACTTTTAAAGGTTAATGAATCAAACGGATCAAAAGTTTTCAGCGAGCCTGGAATAGC